GAACGTCACCAGGTCACCGAACGTCTTCACTTCTCTTTTGAATGCTCCCGTTCGTGATCTGAAGTGTCTCATCTTTGCCTTGACGCATGATTCGCAGAAGGGATTTCGGTATCTGTGTGTAAGCAAATGAGCTATGGAGTTGGCGTCCTTCTTGAGGACTCCCACTTTCCTCTTTATTGATGATCCTTCGTACACGTCTACTTCGATTCCGGCATCTGGATCATCTTCATCAACCTCTTCCTCGTGAGCTTCGGCATCACCACGTCGATGCGGGACTGACCCAACATCTACAGGTATTTCCTCAGCCACGGGAGGCGGACGTACCGGACCGGCTCCTCCGGGTGGCCCGAAGTCGAATGCCCCGTCGTGGTGTTCGCCCTCGGCCTCTGCGGACTCACCGACAGCGGCGGGTGTGACGTCGTTCTCATCGTCACCTCCCTGATCTGCCTCGTCGTTCGCTACCATCGCCAATACTTCCGAAAAGTGCTCCTTGAGGTCGTCTATCGTAGGGCGATGCCTGTTACTCCGAAGTTTACCATCACTCACTAGGTACGGGATGTCGTCCTTGACCTGCAAGTGCACGAATCCCTGCTTTGGCGTAACCATGAAAGGTAGTTTACCAGGCATCCAGAGAAATGCATAACCCATCTTCATGCATCTCCTCCCCACTGACAATACCGTGGGTGTCTCATCCAATACATGCGGCTCGACAGTCTCGTCCAACTCGTCCACGACTATCTTGGCCACATCAGATGTGGAAGTGGAACCATTCGCGGTCTGGAACACGATCTCGTCGTCATCTTTCACGATGTCGACACCCAGGCTCTTCGCCTTGGCTCTTCCGATGAGATCATGACCACATCCGGTGTCCATCAACCATTTCACCCGTTTGCTGATGCACGTTGACATGGCGAAAACATTCTTCGGCATACCATGCTGTTTCTTCCAGTCGACAGCCGATTCCTTGATCTCGTCCTTGTTCCGATCATGCTCGAACATTATGCTGCTCTCCTTGGTCACCGGGAAGTAGTGCTTCTTATATACATCATCCACCACTTCTCTCAGTATCTTCGCACGTATCAATGATCGTTGGACTTGGTAGGCTGATAATTCACGATGATCACTGCTTTTGAACTTCTTCTCGTCGACGTACACGTACTGATAAGGCTCATTCTCATTGTCCTCACAACCGTACCATTCCTCTTTTCGTTCCCATTGCCTTCTCTCGTCTTCGAGGTAGGTGATCTCCCCATTCTCGTCGACGTCGAGCACTTCCTTGAACCACACCATTTTCTCGGGGATCTCGGACTCGCCAGACCATCTCGATGATTCGCTCATCGCGTCGTCATCGTGCTCGTGGTAGACAGTCTCGGCTTCGTCCGGTTCGACCTGATCAACGTCCTTCTTGAAGCTTACCTTCCCTGCAGGAGCCGATTGCTTCAGGACTATCGCGGGCATTGCGACGGCCCTCCTCGCAATGGCTGGCGCTGCGGCTTTGGCGGCAGCCTTCGACTTGGCTTGCGCCTTGTCGTTTGACGTTGCTGGAGCTGAATTGTTCTTGATGAGCTCATGCCTGTACTTACAAGCGCTTCCCCTATCGCACTTCCCCCTCTGAAACGCGAAGCATGCTCCATCATCCCTCTTTGGTGACGATGATCTGGACTTGGATTTGCCCTTTCCTTTCCCCTTGGACATGCTCTCCAACTTATGCTCCGTCTTCTTGCTGTGGGAAAAAGTGCATTCATTCCCTTTCACGCACCCCTTCGCCGATTTGAAGTGGTACCAGCAGGGGTTATCCTTGCTTCCGCCCGGACTCTTGCCTCTGTCGCTGGCACCGTCGGACTTGCCGTTCTTGCCAGCGTGGCCCTTTGCCTTGGCTTTTGGGAGCACAGGAGCGGCATCAGGTCCACCGGGTTTCCCCTTTCTGCCCTTGCCACCCTGGTTCTCCTGTTTGCCAGTTGCTGGAGCCGCATCCTTCCTGCCTGACTTCATCATCGACTTGACCGATTTCTCCTTCATGTCGAGCATCAGGTCTTCCCGATCTGCCTTGATCTGATAGTCGATCAACGCCAATAAGAATTCATACGTCTTCTGAGGATGCTTGTCCGGTAGTCTATGGTAGGCATTGAGGCCGAAGGATGTCTCTGAGAGCCAGCTTACTGGGTCTGTCCTCGCTCCTCATCTTCAGCAGCAAATCATACCATTTGTTCCTGAACATGACCAAGTTCTTGTCGCCAGGAAAGTCAAGGTTGAATAAATGCTCGATGTGGTAGACAAGATCCGTTCTATCGGAAGTTCTGATTGATTGCATAACTAATGCCACCAACTCTCGTCCCTTCACGATCACCCCTTGTTGATGTCGTAGTTCAGAGTGTCGTGTAGCATCGAGATATACGTCCTTGGCTTCGTCAGGTGCTTGTTTCAGCATGTTCTGCATGCCCATGGCCATCTTAATATCTATCGTAGCAAATCTGTCGCCACCTGAATCGCTAAGCAAATCCAGGTCTGGGTTCAACCCAAGAGCCTGCTCCAGCCATTTTGTCCATGCGTCGGTATCTGGATCTGCACACGCGCTCAGAACATTCATCAGCAGTTGCATCTTCCAGGTGTCAAGTTGATGGATCTTTGGCCAGGCCGGAATAGATACTCTCTCGGCCTCTTTCCTCGAGATTCTCGGTCGGTCATTCTTGATCTCTCGGTTATCTCTCGATCTCCTTCGTCTCCTCCGTGTCCGATCGTCTTCTTCCTCTTCTTCTTCCTCGTCTTCCTCATCCCCTTCGTCGTCGTCATCCTCATCCTCATCATCGGGTGGATCATCCGGAGGTCCTCCTCCGCCACCAGCGAGGCTCAACTGACGTCGACCCGCTCCCTGCCCATTCCCATTGGGCGGGAATCCACCGTAATCCAATGGGGGCGTAGTACCGTTGTTTCCCCCCCCATCACCACCACCAGTCGTAGTAGTGGATTGTGGGACATGCCTAACAACCCCTTGCATCTGGGATAGGTGTACATCGATCATTGGATCACCGAAAGACGGAAAAAGGATCGAACCTGGCATCAGCGACGAATTAGGGATTTGATTTGAAGACGATGACGGGACTGACCCAGCCACCTTCTTGTCTATCCTATTTGAATTAGCCTGGGTTCCTCCCTCAGCTCGTTTCACTACTGCTCGTTCACGATGTCCATCTTTGCTGCTGGAGGCTTCCTGTGTCTCCAGCTTCTTGTGTGCACGTAGTTCCTCGTTGTCAGCATCGAGTTGGCGAACAAAACTCTCTTCTTGCTTG